CGCCCCGCAGCTCCCCCCGGGGGGCCTCGCGCGCCGCTACCGCCCCGGGCGCCCCGCAGCTCCCCCCGGGGGGCCTCGCGCGCCGCTACCGCCCCGGGCGCCCCCTCTGTTCGGGGTCCTGCTGGGGGCCCCTCCCTCCGCCGGGGGACCCGTGTGGCTGCGGGGCGGGACCGACCCAGCGCCGGGCGCTCGGCGGCGGGGCCCTTTAAACCCTGCCGGGCAGTGGGCGGAGCAGGGGGCCGGGCCGGGCTGGGTTGGCCGCCGCGCTCCAGTGGCGGTGCGCAGGGGCTCCTTGGCATCTGTCTCCGCCGGGATCGACAGGAGCCGGCCCGCCCGTGGGGTCCCCCCCAGCCGCCAGCGCCCAGGAGAAGGCACCAGCCCCGCTCCCGTGCAATGAGCCTCCGAGCCCAGTAAGTGCCTCTCCCGCTCCGCCGGCCGGGGCTTGCCATGGAGCCGCCGCCTGCAGCAGCCGCCTCTCTCCATGGGGCTCGCACGGTGCCGTTGCTAGGATTTGGACCCGGGGGGATAAGGCCAGTCTGCGGGGGCCTCCGCTGCTTCGAGGGGGGAGAACGGAGCCCCCTTCCCCTTCCCGTGCTGTTGTTCCCTCCCCCCAGCAAATATTCAGCAGCGGGGATCCCTCCACCTCCTTGCAAATGACTGCCCACCTCCCCTTCTGCCGGTCATGGAGCGCCCTTGTTATTCCAGGGACCCAAAGGGACGGGGACGCTGGGGGGCTACTCCGAGACCCGTGTGGCTCTGGGGCAGTGAACATTGGCTGAAGCAGCTGGGAAGGATTGTTCCTATACATGGATCCCTGTTGGTTATTTAATGATCGGTTTCTATTGGGGGCCGCACTTGCATTGCTTCGGGTCTGTGCGTTTAGAACCGAGCAGGGCTGAGGGAGGGGAAATCCTGGTCCTGTATAGCCGTGTCCCACTGACCTCCCTCCCCCTCCAGCCCTTTAACCTATTGCATGATTGATCGAGGTTACAGTTTAGCTGATGATTGATGTCGTGTCCCTTCTGAGACAAATGACAAGGACTCCCCCTCCTCGGATCCTGCTGGAGGTTAGGCTCAGGTGTCTAGCTGGCTTTTTTTAAGTGGAGGAAAGGGTTATAGAGCAAGGATTAAACCATACAGCAGCAGACTTCTAGATTGATTCTGCTGTCTGTCTTGAAAGCTGTGGATGGACGGCTGTCCTTCTTGCTTGTTGGAAATTCAACATCTCTAGCTACTGTCTCTCTCTCTCTCTTCCCCCCCTGTTTTTTTTCTCCCCCTGAGTGGCTCTAAACTAGGTCTGTAATGATGCAACTGTGGCATTGTATGTAAGTAGATTTGTTTTGTTTAAATATTTGATCATGTAAAAGGCATGGGGTCTGAACTTCGAGTGGTCTTCAGAGCTGTCTGGGGTCTCAAAGTCCATGCTGGGGGACGGCAGACAACAGGTATGAATTTTTGGGCAAGTAGGAGGTGGAGAGAGGTGTAACTTGTGTGATTGCTCGGCAGACTTTTATTATTGGTAAATAAAAAAGGTTGGCAGTATTTCTCTTTCCTCATTTAGGGCCTGAGCTTGCAAGGTGCAGGGCATCTCCACTTACCAGGGAAGTGAATGGGTGCTGCGCACCTTGCAGGTTCAAGGTGTGTGTGTGTGTGTGCACGTGTGTGTGTGTGTGAATTAATATACAAAAACCATGTTTATCCTTTAAGTATGACTTTCTAGGGCCTCATGGGTTTCCCTGTTGCTCACAGAGCTCTCTTCTTTGGAGAGATTTACATTTCCCTTTTAGCAAGTTGTTTTCCCTTCTGTGGGCCCGATCCTGAGAAGTATGGAGCACTTGCAACTCCCCTTGCAGTCAATGGGCCTGATTCTCCTCTTTCCTATCCTGATTTTGCACTGGTATAACTGTTGATTTTAGGGAAATTGCTCCTGATTTGCATTGTGTAAGTGAAAGAATCAGACCCATGTCTTTGGGCAGCATGGGGACTTTGTGACAGCTCTGTTTATCTCTAGTTTCTGTTGATGCTGTTTTGTAAAAAATTGGACTAGAATACAATAAATCCATGCTTTAGAGATTTGAAATGTATCCTTATTGAGACCATGTTATGGTAGGATGTATGAACTTCAGGAGCTGATAATTACGATCATTCCAAACTCCTCTAAACTAAGAAGCAACAGAGGGTCCTGTGGCACCTTTAAGACTAACAGAACTATTGGAGCATAAGCTTTCGTGGGTGAATGCCCACTTCATCATTGCGTCATTATGCTCCAATACTTCTGTTAGTCTTAAAGGTGCCACAGGACCCTCTGTTGCTTTTTACAGATTCAGACTAACACGGCTACCCCTTTGATCCTATAAACTAGCCTCTTCATTACTGCTCAAAATCCTTGCATATAGCAACATTTATCTTATCCACAAAAAATGAATGTTTGTTCCAGTACATGTCACAGCTCCTTATGTTCCTTACGTAGAGTATTCAAAAGCATCTGGATGACGTAGGAGAACCAGTCCCATTGAAAATCAGTGGGTCATGTGGTCCTATGTCACTCTCCTGAAAATCCGAGTCCTTCTCCTTTGATACGTTCAGGGATGTATAGTTTCTTGTCTTTGCACAAATGGCCCTCTCACTAATCATAAGAGAAGCTGAGTTGGTGCGTCAGTATCCCCTGGATTTGATTAAGAGCTTTGCAAAGCCATCCACATCTTTATGTAGTGAATATTCCTGCGTCTTGCTCAGTAGCATTCATGCTTTTTTTTTATATAACACTGCCTCGCACCCAAATATGTCAGTTAAATAACTTACTTTTATTTAAGTCACTTAATCCTTTCCTGTAGGATGTCTGGCATATCTCACTATTAATTGGAAACCAATGCATTTGCGTGTCTGCTAATTTGTACTGTATTTCAAGGGCTGCCTTTCTCCTTGGGTTTTCCCCTTTACTTCACTCTCTGTCTCAGTCAGCTAATTAAAGCTAACTCTTTCTTTCTTATATTTATTTAGTGACAGTGTGGTCAGTCCTGTAATAACTTCCTTTGAGCTGATGCTCATTCCCTTTGCTGCTGAATAGGCTGTGAATGTGTGTTTTGAGATAACACACTGTGACTTGTGTTTTAAAACATGTTGCCCTCCCTCTCTCTAGTTGCTCATGTTCAAGATTTCTCTCTAGGTTTGGAATTGTGGTGATTTTTATGTTACAGCTCCCTCAACTCGTCTTCTTTCTGCTCTCCCTCCTTTTTTGGCCTCATCACCTCATCTCTAGGGGTCGTTCTGTATGTGTGTGTGTGTGTGTGTGTGTGTGTGTGTGTGTGTGATCTGCTCCCCTCTGCCAAGACCACCCCAATTTCCTGCCATTCCTTGCTCTCTGGGGTCCCTCCTGTATCAAACAGTTGCTATCAACCATTTCTTGATGCCGACAAACGTCCCAGATAGCATCCTGTCTAATGCTTCCTTTTTGGGTCAGGTTATTGAGGAAGTTGGTACCAACTAGGGTGACCAGACAGCAAGTGTGAAAAATCGGGATAGGAGGTGGGGGGTAATAGGAGCCTATATAAGAAAAAGACCCAAAAATCGGGACTGTCCCTATAAAATCAGGACATCTGGTCACCCTAGACCAACTGGAGTCCTCTGTGTGCCGTGACCCCGTTCCATCTGGCTTTTGCCTGGGGAATGGCAGAGAGATTGTGCTGGCTTTGCTGGTGGTGGTTCTCCATTGTAGTGATGGACAAAGGTCATGTGCCCACTCTGATTCTATCAGCAGTCCTCTCCCATTTGTTTGGTTAATACATATGTCTAGAACTTGGAGCTACTTATTCATATCCCCATTTTTGCCTCATTCATATGCTGGGTAAATACAGGATCTATGTTCTTGTGTAATGGGGGGGGGTGTCAAACTTTTGATGCACATAGTTTCTTCTCCGATGGTCCAAATTGTGGCTCTGGTTTCTGCTTTAGTGAGTTGGGGTCTGATACTGATCCGTATCATCAGGAGCTAGCTGCTGGTCTAGTTGTGTGAGTTGAGCTCTGAGAGAGAAACTGAGGTCAGAGTTTTGTTTTCACTTATGTGAAGAAAATGAGGAAACCCCATAAGAGGATGTTGGAGAATCCCAAAGGTGGACAGAAGTTAAGTTTAAAGAGGCCTGCACACACACACACCTCTGCTGCCACCGTTCTGTCTCTTGCCACCTGGGAACTGTCCATCAAGTACCAGTTCCTGAAGAAGAGTGAGCTCCAAGCCTCTGGTGGGGAAACCCTCAAACCCCAACCTTTGATGGCTGCAGTCTCTGCAACCTGGGTGTACCAGCTGCATCTCTAGCTGTTTGCTGTGCTTTCTAGCTGCCCTCTGCTCCTTAATGTGTCAGGCCGCAAGTTGTATTTCAGATACCGTTGCTCCAATAAAACGTTGTCTGCCTGAAAACTGGGAATGGAAGTGAAATGGTAGGAATGATAGCTCTGGTGATATGGTCCAGCTCTGGTGATATGGTCCAGCTCTGGTTGGCTGGGTGTTTTGCCTCTCACTTCCAGAATTATGAAAAGTGGAAGGTCAGTAGGATTATCTTAGAGGGGAAGGTTTAGTGGCATCTGTGTCCGGTATGAAATTCTTAGACTCCCTAGAACCACAGGTTCAAATCCCAGTGGGATCAGTTAAACCTTTCATCTTTTTTTAATGTGTTCC